CAAAATTTGAGTTTTTTATAAGAATCTCTCAATAACTTTGTTTCTTTTTTATTCGACAGATTTTTCACGGTAACACTAACGCCGATCACATGCTAAAAGTAAACCTCGATCAACCGGTTCTGGCCATGTTTGTCCGGTTTGTCATAAAAGAATTCGTCGAATGGCCGTGTATGCGCGTTGAAGTTTACGGTACACCTGCAAGTAAGTCATTGAAAAGAATTGGAAAACTTTTCAGTCGATCAAAGATTGCTTGTTCGCAATCTTTCATTTGAATAATTAGTTATAACAACATTTAGTTATGGCAGTCTAGTTAGCGACAGTTAGAACCACTTTGCACGACAGTAAAATGAAAGTGCCACTCATCAGATCTCGTTTAGGAGGCTACAAAGAAACAAATTGAGGTTAACCGTTTTTATGATTCCTTTTTCAATAATCAACAATGTCACAGGAGAGTAATGATGGTGGGTAAGCGTAGTAGCTTTCGGAACAAGGACCCCCTCCCTACCTCTCTTAACACTACATAAACAAAGTGAGAGGGGTTCATCTTTGCTTGAAAATGGCTAAATACCTTTTTTTTGCTTAGATCGACGTAACGAATGCTTCAATACTTTTATTTTTGTAGATTGTACTGTTAGAACAAAGGACAACGAATGTTGTGTGTTTCCCTTCATGTACAAAGGAGAGAGACACTTTTCATGTTTACCATCTTTATTCAACGGCGATTGGTGTGCGACAACACACGACTATGGCAAAGATAAAAAATGGGGAGAGTGCTTAGGTCTGTTGAAGATTTTTGTGTTGGACTTAATTATATTCACCGAACTTACAGGGAAAAAAAAATGAATTAGGGATTCCATGACCTACTTCCTGGACGCTGACCGGGCGCTATTGCGAATTTAGTTGCGAAGCCCAATGACAGAAGTGTGGAAGATTCCAGACCTTAAATTTTTGTAAGAAATCTGATAGAAAATAAACCTTGAAATGAATCATACAGGACGCTAAGATAACTTTCAATTGAGTCTCAGAATAAATTAAAGCGGTCTTATTCCTGAAAGACTTTGGTAGGCATCTTAATGATCATTTAAGGTTTCCAATTGGTCATTTCTCAATTGTATCGAAATTTTTCTCTTTTTTCGCAGAAGGAGACTTGAACGCATGAAGCAGGATGCAAGCCGAAATCACCATGCAACAGCAGATCCTACTTACGTTTGAATCAAGATAGCACCTTGTAAAGAAGGCCTGGCCTTCAGCACGTATGGGTTTCTTTCAATCAGCGTTTATCATTACAAGTACTTGACAATAAGGGTAATTTCACTTTCTATACACAGTTCACTTAATAAACGTGTTTTTTCACGAACTCCACTCTGTTTGGCTTTTGTTCTGGGCGAAGTACGCGCGGAGTTTTCTTCCCGAAGTGGGGATGGTGCACATGGCCTGAGCCCCATTCTCCTCTCCTGCGGGTTGGTTGGGCGATACAAGTGTACTATGCACCTTACACTTAAGCTTTTTGACGGATTATCAAAATTAATAGCGCTGGAATTAGAGCTGAAATATAACGGTGAGGGTCTTCGCAGATACCGACCGAATAGGCAAAATTGCTCACCTTGTTGATAGACCAAACAAATTCACTGAAATCCATTTCCACCTTCGAAATTGATATCTACAGAAGTTTGGGAAAACATCCACGAGTCCGAAAAAAAAATACAAGCAATCAATAACTTTTGTAGACCTGCCTACTGACCTCTGCTGAAATTTATATCAGAGCTCGGTCACATCTCTTTCCACACAGGATTCTTAATCGCCGATGTGGGTCGCCACATGACTGCGAATAATGGGAAAGATACCAGCTATTTATATGCGCATGCTTACGATATTTCATGCAACAAACTTGGGATTTCCCCCACAGTTTTAAAGAACAGCAAGTATGTATATTGACAATACTTGCCAGGAACAATGTTTCTCAAATTTTAGGCACTATTTCATCGGCAAGATAAGGCAAGCAAGACAAACGCACCAAATCAATTAAGTCATCACATCTATTTTCCTCTGATGCCTGGTTCATTCAACCATTGTGAAAGTTTCCCGTCATTTGCATTTCCTTTTGGCAAATATTGATCTTCAGCACCCCTGATCCATTCATTGACAATAAAATTACATTTTTTATTAAATTAGCTGTATTTGCATGGTGAATACATCGGGACCTTCTTTTGTCAATTGAGAGTTAACCATCTTTAATTATCACCTGAACCTTAAAGCGGGACATATTGACAAGCGTTAAAAAACTACAATCGTTCTCAACGGAGAGAAGACGCCTCCATAAGCTTCAAACACAAATATGCTCCGTGTTATATTCGCTTTAATTCTTGCAGCCAGAATTTTGTACTCCTCAAGTAAGTCTTTTTGATCATCCTTTCTTTTATATTTTCTTATTTTCAGAGCGTGTTCTTTTTTTTGAGATCTAGTTCTCTTCAATTTCGTTTTAGACCTTGATTGCCGCGACAATTCTCTCAGAGTTGAAGATTTCAAAAGAGTTTCCGGTGGAGGAATTGTTGCTTCCTCTTGGTTTTCACCGTACTCAGATTTTGCGCCATGTCAAGGAAGATTAAACAACCAGAAAGGAACATGGTGTTCGAATCGGCCAGAAAAAGACCCCAGACCGTATCTTCAGGCAAGGAATTAGCTTTTTTTCTCTCTGCTCAGGGGTACAAAGACAACTGTTTCCTTGCTCTAAGGTGAAAAGCCACAAAATCCAGCCGAATGTCCTGAGCACTGGCCTAATGATGAGCCAGTGAACTGACCGTGTACGAAAGGGTTTTATGGTTTTATATTTAATCCCTGAGTGAGAGGTGCGCCATGAATAAGATTGAGTCTCACGAGCAATTCTGTCATATTTCAACTTAATTAAATAGCAATGATAGTGACAATACCCCATATTTAAAATAAATGACAACGAAGACGATGTTGACTTCGATGGCAGGATGGTGATGATAACAAAAAAGATTCTTCTCGGTCGATATCAAAGGCACTGCTAACATCTCACGGTTATCCATAGGTCGAGCTTCCTCAGCGAACTCGAGTTTGCGCAGTAGCCACACAAGGATCATCTATATATGCAACTGACTACGTAACAAAATTTGAAATCCAAACCTCGCTGGATAAGAGGAACTGGGTAACATACAAAGAAAATGGCACGAACAAGGTATAAACATCTTTTAGTGGAACAAGCTTGTTGATTTTAAAACTTACAAAATGAGAAGATAACCTCATAACCACGTACTTTTATAAATCATTCATGTTTTATTTATTTTGAAGCTTCATCGAGAACTAGAAAAGTACATACGTGAATTTGCATTTGACTCATATCACATTTTCAAAGTCAGTATGTCAGTTCCGACTTACGTTGGGTTGTTTCCAGAGAAGTTACTAGCGGATCTCTCTGAAGCTCTTTCTTTCCAACAGACTCACACAATTCAAAAAATCTATTTCTTTTCATCCTTTATCATTCAACAGATTTTTAAAGGTAACACTGACGCAAATTATAAGCTAAAAACGAACCTCGGTGAACCAGTTCTGGCCATGTTTGTCCGGTTTGTTGTCAGAGAATATAACAACTGGCCGTGCATGCGCGTTGAGGTCTACGGAGAACCAACTTGTAAGTCAGAAGGAGAGAAAAACCTTAAAAAATCTTGAATTCGACTCTGGTAATCATGGTAATTGTAAATTTGATCTTTAATCTATTTCATTTTGCAGATTGCACTGTGAAAACAAAGGGCAATGAATGTTGTGTGTTCCCATTTATGTTCAAAGGAGAGAGATACTTCACATGCATATCATACTCGTTTGGCAGAAAATGGTGTGCGACAACACCCGACTATGACAAAGATGCCAAATGGGGAAAGTGCTGAGCTTTTCTAATCAAGGTTTTTCTAGTTTTTCAGACTTAACAGAATTTGTTAGGAACCGCTGTTTGTTTCCTGTAACGTGATTGACTAATTTTTTCGCGCGCTCTTGGTAAAAGAAATAGCGCGGTAAATCAAGTTGTTTTAGCGAGTTTCAGAGAGGAAAGACTGATGAGCGTAAGGGGAGCTTTAGACGACCTAAAACAACGTTTCAAGCTAAGTTAAGTCCGAAAGGAAATTAAAAGAAAATCTTGTATTCGTATCAAGAGCAATTTCAGGGGCAGGAAACGATAAAACCCAGAGAGAGAGAGAGTGCGAGTCGCCGTCAAGTTTGAGCTTTTAACCCATTGAGCACTTCATCGTTATCTGAAGGCTGGTCTCAATTATCTTCACTTTTTTTTTGTCCTTTTTCAACAGAAAACTAGAAGTAAAGAGCAAGAGGCCGATGCACTTGCAGTTTCTACATTTGAAAGAAGAAAACATTATTTTTAGATAGCCTTGTAGCTTTGAAAAGCGTCTTACATCATACGTAGGTTTATCATTACAAACACGTAAAGCTAGAGAATATGCATTTAATAAACATGTTTGCTCACAAAATCCTCTCACACAGTAAATTTATTTTGAATGGTGTTAGTCCTCCTGCGGCCTTGGCTAAGAGCAGGTCTCCTAAAGTTGTAATACTAGTGCACAATCCCCGCGCTCCTTTATCTATGCGCTAAGTTCCTTATCAATTTTCTCTTTACGAGGATTCAGTTCAAACTTGTATATTTAAGAATGAATTTTAACAACGCTCATGAAATGCTGAAACAAAAGGAAGTGACGATCCATCCGAAAAAAAAGCAAGATCAACGCACTCAATTAGTCTTGCTTCAATTCATGCTACGGTGTTGCTCGCCCAACTATTGTAATTTTCAGCCAATTGTTTTCCTAAATTGTAAATATTGACCCCAAAAACAATCTTTAGCCCATTCTCTGATAAGCAAATTTATTCGCATTATTAGCCTAGCTGTGTTTACTTTTAAACTGTAAAAACCCTTGATGAATATTTTGATCGACATATGAATTCAAATGTTTTGCGTTTGTTGAAGGTTAGCCGTTTTTTTAGCTGCGCCATCGGCGAGAGGCGGACGCGTATAAAGCAAACCGTAAAACACTAGACTCCATCCCTGCACAGATCAAAAAGCTCCTTACAAGCTCAGTCAACGAAATGTTCAGGGTGATTTTCGCCTTAGTCCTTGTGACTATCTTTCATATCTCCTCAAGTGAGTCCAATTATTCTGGAATCTTTTTGTGATTGTCAGACAATGTCCTAAGATTGTAAAGTTCTGTTAAATCTGAGATTGTTTGGCTAAACACAGGCCTTTCTCACCGAGCTCAAGATGTTGTGGTAAGCAAAAAAGAGGCCACGTCATTTTACAAACGCTTCTTTCTGGACAATGACATCTACGAAGAATGCTACGGAGAGGAATCGTGTGACTTCGAAGAAGTCGTCGAAAAGTACGGTCATTCGGAACAGTCGGTTGGTCAAATTTGATTTTATCTTTATTACGAACGAGTCGAATATTCATCTCTCATCGGCAAATTAGTCATTTTTTAATAATTTCCGTATCAATGTCATATTTCATCGACCAATTGCTGTTATGATCTTACTGATTGTGATAGACACTTCAACTTTGCGCGGGAAATTTGATTGAAATAATATAATCATTTAAATACATTAATATGTTATAACTTAAATATTCCTTGATGTTTTTTTTTCCTGTTGAAAGAAAGTTGATATCAATCCAACCAGAGACAAAAGCTAGTCGTTAAAGATAGCGGTGTTGTCTGTTATTTTAACAGGTATATTACTTTTAACCTCTGCAATACAACCTGGCAGGTAGTGGTTTTGGATGTGAATTGGAAGACCTATTTAGCCATTTTTAGTCATAATTAATTGAGCAATAGACATAACATATTTACTGAATGAAAATATCGGCATTGATAAAGTGTAAGTAAATCGAGAAAAATTTGTAAAAGATCTTGGAGGAGAAGGTTAGGTTGCGGAAATATTTCGGTTTTGTTTGCTCATAGTTAAGCATATAAAAAGGAAATGGCTCTTTCATTTGATTGTGTCTGGGCTTACATCAACGCTTTCTTTGCAGTATGAATACTGGAACACGTATACTTGTAACACCACCAATAAACGCTGTAAAGGTAAGTACCTAAGCTCAACTTTGATTCAAAAGGTCGCATGCATGGTTTTGAAATAACGAAGATAACATCTATCTCCCATAAGGGAAGGGTCAAATGTACCTTACCCACTATCCCCCCCTCCCCCCGCACCCTCTTAGTTGTGCCTGTTTCTTTTCTACATACATCAACCATTCAGACGTCGCCTGCCGTGGTTATCCAATCGGAATGGAGAGCGGAAAGATCTCGGATGAAAACATCGTTGCCTCCTCGTGGCAGGAACCCTTCCATGCCTTCCGACCTGAGAAGGGTCGTCTACACAAAGATGACGGTGTATGGTGTCCTAACACGTTGGGAGAAGTTGACAAGGGATATTACCTTCAAGTCGAGTTTCCAGGTCGATACAACATTTGTGCAGTTGCTTCTCAGGGTTCACCTCTGTATGATACAGACTGGGTGACAAAATATCGACTTCAATACTCCATGGACGGGCAGAACTTCACGTTTTACACCGAAAATGGGGAGGTCAAGGTAAGATTTACTTCTCCGCCAAACTGACTGCATAGCTGGTAAATCACTGAATTAATTGTTGATTGGCGCCCGATGTATAGGACTAAGTAATATTAAAACCAAAGCAATCACAATAGCCAATCAGAGCAAAGGAAATATTGCAAATAGCCAATGAGAACATATCGTATAACATACTGTTAAAAGCGCGTCAAACTCGGGTGACCAATGGAGCAAGTCGCATTTCAGTTTTAAATTCATTGATTGAGAGGGTGGTATGAGTTTTCTGGACCAATAATAGAGAAAATAAACGCAAAAATTGAGCGATCCTTGATGATCTTCGACACTACAATCCTCGATTACTTTTGGCAATCAATCAAAATTTTATAAGAAGAAACCCGTCCTGCTCAAAATCAATTCAATGATCCTCGGCACCTCATGATTCTTTCAGGAGTTTTCCGGTAACACGAACGCTAAAGAGATGGTAAAGAATGACTTAAGCCGACCAATCACTGCGCATTTCATCCGCTTTGTCCCCGTTGAATGGAACTACAAGCCTTGTATGCGTGTTGAGGTCTATGGATCAGCCATTGGTAAGAGTTAAACTCACCTTTTCCTAAGCTGGAACCGAAAATTTTCGTAAATAATAAACTTGGCACTCCCTCCCCCCCTTATACACTTTTCTACTCGCCCCTAGCTTTCCTCGATCTTGCAATTAAACACTCAACACTTGCCGCCAGAAAATACGCATGCCATGCAAGCTGGACCTAAAATGTATTAACCTCTTAACTCCTAAGAGTGATAAGCATCTAATTTCTCCCAACATTATAACCCCTAAATCAAACATTAAGCTCATGACAATAAGGGAAATGACCCCAAACTTAAGAAGCCCTTGATTGTTAGACAAGTTCTCCTTGCAAGCACCAGAGGAAATGTATAGAGAAAGGTACGGAGAACGTGTGTAGTGATGTTAGGGTTTAAAGAGTGAAGACTTGTTCAGAGATAATAACAGTTCGGTTTTGATTTGTTATTTAAGCCTGTCCCTGGAAAACAAAGAACGACAAGTGTTGTGTGTTTCCATTCACATACAAGGGAAAGAAGTACTACAAGTGCATTGTAGACTGGGTCTGGATGCCATGGTGCGCAACAACTTCGAACTTTGACAAGGACAATGAGTGGGAGAACTGCCTTCCAAGTACGTACTGATTCACATCTAGTTTCTTATAACAACATGAAATATGTGTGGCCATGTTTTGAGCCCAGTTTAAAGGATGTGATAAACTGGGAAAACGATTCACCTGGAACATTGTCATAGATTACCTGCAGAATGGGGAAAGAATCATTCATAGAAATTATCTTGAATGGCTGCGTGTCTTTCTTAATTAAGCTGTTCTTTCCGTTCTGTCAGTCTTTAAGTACTATCCATTGATTTCTGTCTCCCATTGTAGAAAGCAAGCAATAAGATGAGCTACTACAAACCATTAGAGAAATGAGAATGTCACGTAGTGAAAATGATTTACATTGTCATAGGTTGCTTGCAGGATGGGAGGAGGAGGTGGGGGGGGGGGGGATTCTTCAAAGAAATAATCTTGAATAATTGCATGTCTTTCCTGATAAAGCGGTTCTTTTCGTTCTGTCAGTTTTAAAGTGCCTTCCACCGATTTTCTTTCTCCCTTTGTAGAAAGCAAGCAGTAAGAGGAGCTTCTACAAACCTTCAGGGAACTGAGAATAGTAGTGAAATAGCTGAATCAAGAAAATAAAGAAGCAGTTGCAGTGATTCTCTTAAAACATTAATTTAGTGGAAAATGTACTCTTGGCTCATTAACAACAACTTGGATTATTAAATAAAACTCTCCTGATTGCCACACCTAATTTATCAAATAACCCTGCAATTCATGTTTCCTTCTCCAAACCGACAAACGTGTGCTGAGGAATTCAATTTGAAACAGGCTTCGATTCATGTTGCGAAGACAGAGCATCTACACAAACCTCAGTAGAGGATTCACTCAACAGAGAATACAAACACGAAAGCCCCATTATAAAAAAATAACAATACCTGGAGTCGATCTTTCTCCTCCTCGTTATTTCTCTACCTACGTCTAGCCACTACAGGTGGCAATAAATTACTTTAGAATTCTATTATTTCATTCAAATTTCTTTGTGACATTTTTTCGAGAAAAATGACCTTCCTAAAAATGACCGTTACATTCTCATTTGAAAAAATCTTCTATTCCTTTAGTTTTCACTCAAATTTTTTTTTTATCAATCTGAGTCACGATATGGATTCATGCCAATATCTCCTTCCGTTATACGCCAGTCTATTTGTTCTGCGGACGAAACGTCACGAAATTCATCTTACGATAAATCTGAACACGTTCCTTTTTTTATTCCTAGTTTTCATTAACTGAATGGACGAAAACACTTCCATTTAATTGTCATGTGAACTATGTCATATGTTTCCCTTTCAAACACAGTTTCGTTTTTAAGTTTTTTTCCTCATCAGGGTAGATGATGAAGTTTTTTTAAGAATACGAAAAAGAATGAACGTACGGCACAAATTTTACCCGTTTTTGTATCGTAAAACATCGTTTTCAAATGAATTTGTGTGAAAGGAGCTTAACTCAAAGACAGTCCTCCAATAAACACATCTACCGACTGCCGACAATGTTATCGTTAGGTGAAAAATACTTGCACTTCAAACACTGCGACTGGCTTCCCGCTGAATCGAACCCTGTCGCTCGCCACCATAAAATGACTTTCTTCACCCTCCCTTCCCAATAATGCAACTGTTACTGTAATAGGCGGTCAGCAGTTTAGAGCTTGTTCCGGTCTCCCCCGATTAAAATGGTAAGAGATCGTCATCGTCGTTTTGTTCTTCGTCGTCACTCCCCTCAGCTATCTTAATGAGAGAATCCGCCTCGTCGTCATCTGAGACATCGAGCTAGAATGGAAAAAAACAACAAATAAACCAACAAAAAGAGGAACTTAATATAGTTGTTACAGGAAAACTATTTGTTGGGGCGCTTTTTCGATGAGTGTGGTAAACGCAAAACCAAAGTAATCACAACGGCCGACCAGTAGGTAGGATACAATGAGCGAATGAAAGCTCCTGGGAGTTCACAGTAAAAACAAGTTAACACAACCGCATATCGCAATTTGTTTCAGCTTGGCAAATGACTGATTAAAAGGGTGGCGAAAGTAAATAGAAGCAAAAACTAAGCGACCCTCGATGATCTTCGACACTCGGTTAAGAACTGTTAATAATAAGATTTGTGAAAACTAGTGTGCCCATTTAAAATAAGGCCAGTTAGATGTCAAGGAATACGATAACTTTTCTTAAGTGGCTGGGATTTCATCATTTCTGTCCTTTGTCGTTCGTAGATTTTAAGCAGTAGATACGCATAGTGCATTTGAGAGTGTACCATGAACCGAAAACAATGAGAGGCCTTAAGGTCTTGCCTTGTTAAGTGAAGCCTGTGTTTGGTGAACGAAGCGCGATAATGACGCACAGCGTTACAAGGAGTTCTGAGAGCTACTCAACCCAAGCCTCTTCCTTGTTTCTTTCTGCCCTACTAGTGTATCGGGTTCCCTTTACTGACAAAAAGCTTGGAACCTTCTGAGTTATTGACTATTGCTGAATTGAGAGGGTTGGATTACCTTTTGATATCTGTACGACGGATATTTAATCTCTTTGCGAAGAACATGTGTCTTGAAGTTTACCCTCAAACAAGAAATGATTCGATGCCTGCAATGAGAACAAATAAAAGTAAGAGTCAAAATCAGCATGTTCTATGCTGTCACGAAAAAGTATACTAGAGATACAGATGTCCCTCCATAAAGGGAGATCAAAATATATCAGTAAATAAGATGTTAAATCTACTCTTTTCGAATGTGGTTGCTTTGAGGTAGTAAGAATGACAAAAATGAAGTTCACTAACCTTCTGGAAGGTTTATAAAAAACAACAACAAACACAATGATCAAGAGAACGGCGAAAACCACACCAAATGCGATCCCTAAGTTTTTCTTTCCAGCAGACTTGACTGTTTTGTGTCCAGCTTCAGGAATATCTGTCACGTCGCGGCTCCTGGACACAAAAATAAAGCCTTATTAGAGAACCGGCAACTTTTGATCAACGGTTTTCCAACCATTGATTCAAATTAAAACCAAAATTAAAACCAAGATTGGGAAAGAGATCACACGAAGTGCGACAGGAAACACTTTTCAGTAAAATTGGCAAATTCAGAGGAAACATTTATCCCGTGAAATAAAGCTTGGGTTAGTATCCTTCCCACAATATCTGCACTGTATTTGTTTCATCTGATTGGGTCTGGACGAAATGACACATAAAAGGCGAGGGAAATGCACGTAATAACGCCATATATGGTTTTTGTTTTGCAGATGATTAACTGAGAGCGAAGCGCCAAATTTTTTTTTCGGCCAATCCCAAAAAGCTTCTAAACAGGCTTGGTGAGACAGATGAATAGATGTTCTACTTACAAGTCTCCCGCGCAAACAATGGAAGTTGTCCAAGTGAAGAAATGATGATTGTTGCTCGACTTATAATCAAAATTGGGACTTCCCTAAGGAGGAAAAAAGTGACAAATTTCAATATCTTGCCAGCTTGAGGAGCCGTCTTGAATGACAATTCATACCGTCAGGGAAGAAATTGTCAAGTAGAAGCACCACAGTCATTGCTTTTCAGAATGACACTTATACTGTTTCGATCGTTAAAATTAATTCAAAATAACAGAATTATTAGAATACAATACCAGACGAATGATCAGAAACGCTGTGGCATGGGGATCACAACAGCGACTGATAACTATAATCACTTAAAATGTTACATAATTGACTTCTTAAGACAAGGAGAATGCGCCAACTCTTACCACTTCCTCATCTGAACAATGAAAGTTTATCACAAGCACGAACCCATCACTTGCCGTCATCTCAAGCGAAAAAATGGCGTCTACAAAGTAAATGATAGTTACGAATTCTCGAAAGTAAAAGAGAATACTCTAAGCGAAGAAACCATCAGATTCTGTTCAGATCTTCGGATTTCGTGCCAGTAGGCTCTGCCACTGACATTAAGTCGATAGATGGTGAGCGAGGTCGTGAAAGAGCCTTATAGGTGACAAACGTACTGCTATTATCAGCAATATCAAAAGCGCCAGGAACGAGGGGTGTAAAGGAGAAATGAGTGACACGTGATTAAGCCAAAAAATAATACACGACGCATGAATTTTACAGAAATACAAGGTAAGGTGGGACTGAAGTTTTCCCTTTTAAATTCACGACGTGTAAAACACTGTTTAAAGTACATGTGACCCGTGAAACGAGATCAGGACCCTCTCTTTGCTACCCTCTTGAAAATGAAACAGATCTGTAAAGGTGGCAACTTTGCGCTTTACCGTCGAATAAAGAAATTATTGTACATTTGTCACGGGTGAAAGTCTATTTGTTAGTCTGACCACTCATTTTAGGAATTCTCTGGCAATATTCTGCATGTGTTGGTAGTAAACGTCCAACCTGAAATACTTAGGTGTCCTCGCCAAGTATTGTTTAAGATAATTACTTTCAGCTTCCTGCCGTAACCAATGAGTGCAGTATAAAAACGTATAAACTTTAATCCAAGAGAGAAAATTTTTTCGGCACTATTTTCCTTGCGAGTTAATCAGATAAAACGTACCTTCATAATAAATACTTTTATGCATCACAATAAACTCTTTGTTCCCACGGCACACTGAAGTCTCGTCTCCATGACAGTTCGATGGTAACTCTTTAAATCCCTTAAGTTTACCACAAACGTTGATGTAATAAAACACTGCTTTACCATGTTCGTCTTGTCCAATAACTCTCCACGTGCTGAGGAGTAGTCACAAAAAACCGGCATTAATTTAATTCCCTCTACGAGCAGCCTCATCAACATTAGGAACAATCCATGCTGATGAGTGACATAGTTTATGTCATGCACACAACCTATGTGTTTTTTAATAACTGTTGTTTTTACACTCTGAAGACTTCCGGAAAATGATGTCTCCGTTTGTCAAATATCTGTAGATTGCTCTTCTTTGATAAAAATATTGTTTTGCAATGTAAGGACCTTTGTCTTCTGGCTGTCAATTTGATTTTTCTTCTTTTCATTATTTTCATGTGCATGTGTGGCTCCTGCCACATGCTATTAGCTTAACTTTGAATATTTTCGTCATGTATTTGTGTGTGTATGTCTATGTTTATGTTTGTTTGCCTCACGTCTCTGACCTCAACAATTAAAATATATTTTCTTTGAACTGAACACCTGGTATTTTCAAACCCTTAGCCGTTTCGGTGAGCCAGAAACCCTATCATCATCGTTCTTTCGCGTTGGTTTAATGTCATACACTGTAGGGGCCAGCTACGCTTAACGAAAATAAATACGACACAACAACTTGTATGCGTCCAGATTCCTTGTATTCTCGTAAACAACGATTTACATACGAGGATCTATCCGGCGATGATTCGAAGTTACTGCTTCTTACAAGATAGCCTCAAAATCCTTAGCTATAAACTAAATTTGACAAAAAAACACAAAAAAAAAAGGCAAAGAAAACTTACAAACAACGCCCAAGCAATGCACATGGCGAGAGAAACTGCGCCCTAGGTATATTGTCAGCGGTGCTACAGAATGTGAGTAAATTCAACGAATCGTACACACACTATTTCTAGAACCAAAAGACAACCCAACAAAATCTTACCTTTCGGATCCATTCACAAGTTTTTTCAAATCAATGCTTCTGCCCGTGACCGGATGTTTGATGACACAATTGTTTTCGTCAATTTTTTTTCTGCAATGGAATTGGAGGAAATGAAAAAAAACAGAAAA